TGCAGGAATAACAAATCAGATTAGATGTTATGGAGATGATATTCCTGAAAAAAAAATTGTTCAGAAAATTTTGAAAAGCTTGCCTGTAAAGTTTGACCATGTTGTAGCTGCCGTAGAAAAATCAAAAGATTTATCTAAATTTTCATTATAAGAATTAAGTGGGCATCTTGAAGCACATGAGCAAAGAATGAATATATTTTCAAACCATAATATAGAACAAACTTTTCAGTAAAAAATGACAATGTCAGAAAATAAAATATTGAAGAAAATAAAGAAAGGGGGACATTTCAAAATTAACAAAGAGGTCGTGGAAGGCAAAATTTTTCCAGAGGCCAAGGAAGAGGAAGAAATAATTTCAACAGCTATAGAAATCTAGATGGAAAAGATAAATCTGAATCTTACTGTATTATTTGCAAAACATCAGGGCATGAATCCAAGGCATGCCGATATAAATGTCAAAATGTAGAAACCCCAATCATTCTCAAAGAGATTGTTGGTTTCAACAGAAAAATTAAATATAGAAAAATGAAGTACATTTTTCTGAGAACAATAATAATACAGGCCATATGTTTTATTCATGCATGAATGAATGTTCAATAGAATTCACATGATATTTGGTATCTAGACAGTGGTTGTAGCAATCATATGACAGGAAATCAAAGCAGTTTTGTTGAGATAGATGAAAAAGTCACTTCTCAAGTAAAGCTCAGTGATGGGAAGCTCCAAAATGTTGAAGGATAATGAGTAATTGCAGTAAAACCAAAAGGACGTAATCCTAAATTAATTTCTGATGTACTTTATGTTCCTGGCTTGACTCAAAATCTTTTAAATGCTAGTCAATTGATGAAAAATGGATATTCAATCAATTTCAATAGAGATGAATGTGTGATTTTTTATAAGAACAATAAACAGATTATAGCCAAGGTGAAAATGACCCCAAACAAGGTTTTTCCTATGGTGATGTCGTCATGTGAAAATTATGCATCGACTTCTGAAAATATTGATAAATCTTACTTGTGGCATTTAAATTTTCAAAGTTTGAAATTAATGAATCAGAAAGGTATGGTAAGTGGACTACCATCAATAAATGAAGAAAGAAAAATATGTGAAGGGTGTATCTATGGAAAATTTAATAAATTGCCATTTTCAGAGTCATCTTGGAAAGGAAGAGCTCCATTGGAACAGGTCCATGCAGACATATGCGAACCGACTCCAACATAAACTTTTAATAAGAGCAGTGATATTTTCTTTTAATTGTTGATAATTACAGCACAATGATGTGGGTATATTTCTTGGCTCAAAAATCAAAAGCAATTACAATTTTTACTCAGTTTAAAGCGGATGCAGAAAAGCAAAGTGGTTTTTCATTAAAAGCCTTGAGAACAGATCGAGGAGAATTTACATCAAAAGAATTTTGAAATTTTTTGCAAAAAGAATGGAATCAGAAGAGAGTTGACAGCAGCATATACTTCACAACAAAAAGGAGTAGCAGAGAGAAGAAATAGAACAATAGTCGAAATGGCCCGGAGTATGTTGAAAGATAAGAATCTTCCTAATAAATTTTGGGTTGAAGCTGTTTATATTGTTGTTTATATTCTGAACAGGTCTCCTACAAGATCTGTCTAAAATAAACAACTTTTGAGGCATGGTATAAGAGAAAACCAAAAGTAAATTATTTCAAAGTTTTCCAAGCTATTCCAAGCTTTTGGAGCATGTTTTAATCCATATAACGACTTTTTCAGTTTATAATCTCTTTCTTCACTTCTTTTTTCAACAAAATCCAATGGTAGTTCAACATAAACTTCTTCAAATTCCCCATTCAAAAAAGCAGATTTTAATGCCAATTGAAAAAATGGAATTTTTAATTGGGCAGCCATAGCCAAGACAATTCGAATGGTTTCCATTCTGGTAACGGAGGCAAAAGCTTCATTAAAGTCTATTCCAGTTTGCTGCGAATTGCCTTTTGCCACCAGTCGTTTTGAATGGACCCATCTTCATTATATTTGGTTTTGTAAATCCATTTCAAACCAATTATTTCTTTCCCTTTTGGGTGAGCTACTAATTCCCATGTATTCTTTTTCTTTATAACAGAAATTTCTTCATTCATGGCATTTAACCAAATTTTTTCTTTCGCTGCTTCTTCAAAATTTTGTGGTTCACTAGAAAAGAAAGGAACGTCACATGATTCATAAATATCTGAAAGAGACCTTACATTTCTGGGAGGCGTCTCTGAATCTGAAGAACTTAAACTTGGACTTCCTTGTCTTGGACTTTCTTGACTTGGACTTGAAGGGCTTGGATCTGGACTTTTATTTGAATCTCATTTTCTAAAATTCTTGTTTCTTGTCTAGAGTTTTCATTCCAGTTCCATTCAGTTTTCTCATCAAAGATAACATCTATGGAAATTACCAACAATTAAAAGAAAATATCACTTCTCTTATTAAAAGTTTATATTTGAGTCGGTTCGCATATGTCTGCATGGACCTGTTCAAATGGAGCTCTTGCTTTCCAAGATGACACTGAAAATGGAAATTTATGTAATTTTCCATAGATACAATAGATACATCCTTCACATATTTTTCTTTCTTCATTTATTGATGGTAGTCCAATTACCATTACCTTTCTGATTCATCAATTTCAAACTTTTAAAATTTAAATGCCACAAGTAAGATTTATCAATATTTTCAGAAGTCAATGTATAATTTTCACATGACGACATCACCATAGGAAAAACCTTATTTGGGGTCATTTTCACCTTGGCTATAATCTGTTTATTTTTCTTATAAAAAATCACACATTCATCTCCATTGAAATTGATTGAATAACCATTTTTCATCAGTTGACCAGCATTTAAAAGATTTTGAGTCAAGCCGGGAACATAAAGTACATCAGAAATTAATTTAGGATACCTCCTTTTGGTTTTACTGCAATTACTCATTTTCCTTCAATATTTTGGAGCTTCCCATCACTAAGCTTGACTTGAGAAGTGACTTTTTCATCTATCTCAACAAAACTGCTTTGATTTCCTGTCATATGATTGCTACAACCACTGTCTAGATACCAAATATCATGTGAATTCTGTTGAACATTCATGCATGAATAAAACATATGGCCTGTATTATTATTTTTCTCAGAAAAATGTACTTCATTTTTCTGTATTTCATTTTTCTGTTGAAACCAACAATCTCTTTGAGAATGATTGGGGCTTCTACATTTTTTACATTTATATCGGCAATCCTTGGATTCATGCTCTGAATTTTGCAAATAATACAGTAAGAATCAGATTTACCTTTTCCATCAAGATTTCTGTAGCTGTTGAAATTATTTCTTCCTCTTCCTTGGCCTCTGGAAAAATTGTCTTCCACGACCTCTTTGATAATTTTGAAATGTCCCCCTTTCTTTATTTTTTTCAATATTTTTCTTTTCTGACATTGTCATTTTTTACTGCAAAGCTTGTTCTATATTATGATTTGAAAATTTGTTCATTCTTTGCTCATGTGCATCAAGAGACCCACTTAATTCTTGTAATGAAAATTTCGATAAATCTTTTGATTTTTCTATGGCAGCTGCAACATGGTCAAACTTTACAGGCAAGCTTCTCAAAATTTTCTGAACAACTTTTTTATCAGGAATATCATCTCTATAACATCTAATCGGATTATTATTCCCGCAACTCTAGTAAAAAAGTTATAAACAGCTTCACTATCTTTCATTATCAAATAATCATATTCTCTCTATAAATTTTGGAGTTTGGTAGAAATCACTTTTTCGGATCCCTGAAATTCTTTTTTCAAAATATCCCAAGCTTATTTTGATTTTGAAGCAATTTTTATTCTAGGAAAGATAGATTTAATTACAACTTGTTGGCTGTAGAGAAGAATTTTTGCATCTCTCTTTTTATTTTCCTTGAATTCATTCTGCTTTGCTTGCGACCACGAATCAAATGCTGCTGCATCTTCTGGTACTGCATGACCTTCAACAATATCCCACAGATCTTGTTAGATAAAGAGAGTCTTCATTTGGAGACTCCAAGAGCCGTAATCTTCTCCATCTAGGATGGGTATTAGATTTTGGGTGTAATTCATACCCGAGGTTGATGCCATAGGTAAAAGGGGTCTTTTAGGAAGCACAAATCTAGGCTCTGATACCAAATGTAGGAAATTTGCGGAAGCGTTGATATAATAATTTGATCGGAAAATAACAAAGAAAGATAATTGGGGTAAAGAGGAAGCAGTATTCATGCACAAAAAGATTTCACTATTATATTTGAAGTAAAGGATATGACAGGTTACAGTGATATAGTGTGGTCTTGAAGACCACACTCACATTTGACATTTTTTTTTTGCTCTCGTTTTTCCTTCACACGCACTTCACTCTGCTTTACACGCTTTACATCCCTTCTTATAGATTGTAGTACCCCCATATCATATTGCTTAAAATAACAATATGGTCCACTGCCTTATAGAGAGCTTTCCTGTGGCGGTTTTACACACCGCCTTCCATTTTTTTTCTTTTGCACCGCCTTTTGAGGAAGATTCCAGAAAGAGAGAGAAGCGGTGATTGAATTATAGAGGGAAACAAATTACCTTTTTTAACAGTATTATCATCCTAAACATCTTCCTAATGTTCTCATGTCAAGCAATTGTTTGACAATTTTCCATTTGCTATTCAAATTTGGTCCCTTATGTTGAACTTGTTTGGCTTTATATGAGTATAACCAGCCTTAGCGGAGGAATTGTTGTTCCAATGAGTTGCTCCTTTAATGCCTAAGGTAGCACTAGTGTTATGGCACTTAACTACGCTGGGCACTATCATTAGGAATTGCCCATCCACCAAACCAATGATGGGTCTGGTCTAGTCAAACCACGGTTGAACCAATTGGACCGGAATTAAAAATCTAAACAAAAATGTTAGTACTAGTTTAAAAATATAAAATATATTACAAAAAAGTTGCCCAACTATGTTTGACCAGTTAGAGAGAATGATAAGAGCTTATGCACCTCGATTTCTTGACGAGGAATGCCCTTAGAAGGTGCAATAGGATCATTTGCAGCCTGCACATCACAAAACAAATACCAAAAAAGGTTTACAAGTCATAATGTTAATCATGAAAGAAATACTTCTTTTTGTTTTTGGAAAAATAATCATAAAACCAATAGTTTACAAGTCATAATGCTAATCATCACCAAGAATAAGAAATTGGGAAAGTATACTATACTCTGAAGGACTATAGAAAAACCATAGTCCATGCGGTCCATTAACGCAATAGCCATTGATGAAGAAAGAGTGGAATCCACCATGGATCATGTCTTACTCTGGTGGGTACCATTTTCTCATCATCGCCATCAACCATCTGAATGGTGATGATGTACTAAAGAACATATCTATCAAAGTCCCTAGGGTTATAGCATATTTCTCCAAGAATAATGTTCAAAGATATATGATGCACAAGCATTACCTGAATGCACAACAACGATGTGTGTACATGTGCTATAGAGCGTGAACTGCTAGCATCAAAATAGTAATCATCTACCGACTTATAACCAAAGGAGACTGCAGTTACAAAGGAAAGAATAGCCAATATCATGCCAACAAAGACATCAGTTAGCTTGATAAGCACAATGGAATCTTACATACCACGTGTTAACCCTTCATCAAATTCCCGGACAGATTTTGCTTTAGCTGCCAAAGGGATGGTGTACTCCCCACCAATCTCTTCAAATAGAAGAGCATGCCTGCATAAATATAACCAAAACTCAACACTCTCACTTTTCACCTAAACTGACCATTCCACTACGTATTTAGTGACCATATAAGGGGAAAAAAAATCAAATTCTAAACACATGTAAAGCTTACTTTTTTAAAATTTTACAAAGTGCTTTTGCAAGGGCTTTATCATATATGACATTGAACCCCTTATGAAAATCCTCATCTGCCATCACCAAGTTAAAAGGATTACATAAGGATACTGCTCCAGAGAGAGGGCAATAATGAGCTTCCTGCAAGAAAGCAGGAAAGAGAATTAAACAATAGTGATCAGAGAAACAAATAAAAAAATTCTCCTTTTTTTGGTCAGCAGAAAACAAAGAAAGAAGTGAGTTCTCAAAGATTGAGAGAAGACGTCCAATAAAGAACAAGGCAGGAACCTATCATTAAACACAAATTTTTATTAGTCCATTATCCCAACATCTCTTATGCATTACAATAACATATAAAATATCTTACTTGTTTCGTGAATCCATGAAGATCTATCAGAAATGTAAATCATGTAGAGGTAATAAACTCCAACTTTATTAGTGCCTGGAGGATTGTAAAAACCTTGCTTTTCAACTTATGAAATAGAAAGGAGTTAAGGGTGTTAACCATCAAATAGTGATTAGAAAGGAGTTCAGGGTGTTAACCATCAAATAGTGATTAGAAAGGACTTAAGGGTGTTAGCCATCAAATAGCGATTGAGTTTTGCATTAGCCTGAAATCCCCGGCAACATATATGCAAAAATTAAATAGAAGGATGATAAGGAAAAGCCTACAAATTGCAAGTAGTGAAAAGGCCATTGGCCAAAAGCAGTCCACAAATTCTCTTACATTATAGCATAAAACTCTGGATCCAAGCAGTTGCATTTACGCATAAAATACCCCCTTCCCTGTTTTGTGTTTCCATCATCTCTATGTATAAACACCCAAAAATAAAATTTTAGTTCTTTTTGAACATGCAAATCTTATATTTTATTTCGACTTTCCAGAACCTTCAAAAAAAACTGGATTCCTTTACAAGACAAAAACATTTTATGCCTTATTTCACATCTATTTATAACAAGTTACTAAATAATTGCCAGAAACTAGTTAAAGAAGTAATCTAAACATTACACTTGAAGAAAAGTAAAATTCATGGAAGGGAAAACCATTACATTGGTTACACTGTGACTCTAATATCTGGAGGACAAATCTTGACAGCACTACAGCTAAACCAACATTTTTGCCACTACAATGGCCAAAAATTTTGACTGACAAAATTAACTCAAATTGAAAAAGAAAAAAAAAATAAATTGTGTACGCAGTATATTACCTGACCCAAGTATCGTACAAGAATATTTGCCCCAAGAGACCAGCCAACCGCATATATATTAGACTTTGGATAGCAAGTCCCAACATGCTCCACCACTTGACGAAGATCTTCTGTAAATGAAGCTGAGTAAAACTACAGTTCAAGGACAAATATTGAAAATAAATTATGTGAAACAAGGTTATACCAAGCCATCTATAGTATTTGACACAATAGAGATCATTTTATCATAATGATACCACACATGAAAAAAAATTTCCAATGATAAAATTTCGACTCAGTTTCCTTCACAAGCATCAAAAGAGGACACTAGTCATTTATTAACTATTAATAAACCAATCAAGCTTTTTTAATGTGACATTAAATTTTCCTCATCTCTATGGGTATATGGAAAAAGGTCTTGCAGTTATAAGTATTTACTAACTATAATAATGAATATAAAATATTTACTAACTATAATAAAGAATATAAATACTTGTGTTTATCTCCAAGTAAATAATTCTCCAGCTAGACCTTGAAAATCTACAAAACAAAGAACGATTGGAAAGCCTGTTCTTTCATTGAAAGAGTTTTTTCCTGGACGCACTTTCACATGACAAAATATAAAAAGTAAATGTCGTCAAATTTTCATATCGTGATAAATCAAGTTAGCCACTCACATATAGTAAAATAAAGGTACCATGTCTCTATCAAAATAGCCAAAGCACAAAAAGAAGGACGAGACAGATCATAGTTACCCAAATCTCTCACCAAAGATTGCGATTCCGATTCGAAAACCCAATTCGGCGATTCAGATTAGAAATCTTTACGGAACCTGTTTCTGTGAAGTCTAGAATCTTGATTCCAATACTTATAGAATCTCGTTTCCAATATTTATTGATTCTTGATTCCGCAATTGGTGAATCTCGATTCTACACTTATTGAAATTGATTTCCAAATTTACCTAAATTCCACCACTTCCCCCCTTTTTTTTTTCTTTTTACTTTCTTGAAGTGATATTTAGAAGTTTTTAATGCATCAAACTACTCGAGCTAGACAATTAATCTCCTGCAATGTGTAATCTTTTTTGGCATGAAATGGCCAATAGAAACCAAAGTGGTGGTCCACGTTCTCTACTAAATTCTTTAAGTGTGAATCGTATTGATCCTATAGATAGATTGTAACTCCAAGATGTTAGAAATAATGTAATATAAATAATATAAACATGCATGGCATATGACAGGCATTCAGATATGTATTGTACCCCTCTCAGTTCCCCTCTCAATTCTAAGGATGTCGGAATCTCGATTCCATAAATAGAGGAATCTTGAATCCATATTAATCAATTCCAGCTAGGTCAAAACTCGATTCCAACGAGCTAGGAATCTCAATTCCATTTGTAGGGATCTTGATTCTGCTAGAATCTTGATTCCTAAAAATAGTAATCTTGTCCCCCACAATTCCTCTTGTATAGACGTCTATTTCGAATATAAGAATCTTCCAGCTTTTTATTAAAACAAAGTTGATGCATTTTCGTGAAAGCCCAATAACCACAAAAGCTACCTTTCAACTCAAACCTGAATCGCATAGCAATGAAACGTTAGCTACTTTCTCACAACAAAATTGCTCCAAATTATAGCCAGCCCCTTTTTTAAAGCGCTTTTATACAACGGCAGTAGATTTGGGGCATTATTGGAGCTCCAAACAATGAAGCCATCAAATGTTCCCAATCTATTGGTCCAAAAAGTCAAGACAATTAAAATGCTTTCAAAAGATATGCTACCAAAATGCTCCAAAATATAGCCAAAACATAAAAAAGACTGGACTCCAAAGATGCTACATTTTAACTCAAAACTTTTAAATCATGTTAAGTAAATTTTAGTTGAATATAGGGGACCCTTTTGCAACAAGTAACCTATGAGAATAAGTACCTTAGGTGAAGTGACTGGGCTATCAGCACAACCACGACTATTAAATACGACAACTCGCCATCCTTTTTTCCTGGCCCGTAAAAGCATGTGCCTTACATAAGTATCCTCACTCCCTCCTGTCAGACCTGGCTGAAATATCACTGTAAAATTAAGTTTCACGTCTGAACTTGAGGGTTAGTTCTCCAGAGCCAAAAAACATTAAATACTTGAGTGTAAGGATGCAGAACAGCAAGTCAATTCCAAAAACTGACCTAAATTTGAATATCACAATTTGAAGCTTTGATATAACATAACTAGAGGGAAAATACAGGCCATGAAGTCAACAACATCCAGTACTCTTGGAGACTAGCACAGTGTTAAGCTAGAATAACTTGACCAAAAGCAAATTTTTTGGCAAAATGCATGAGAAATATCTGCATAAAAAATAAATAAATTTCTCAAATGCACATGTAGAGAGAACCAAAAGATTCGATACATCATCATAAAAGTTACATGGAATATCATATAAGATTTTTAAAAAAAAAGTTTAATGTCATGATGATTGCATCATAAAAAGTTACTCACTTTAAAAAAGTTTGAAGGCTTTAGTTAATTATTTGTTATAAGCTATGCCATCATCAGAAAAACTATTGTAAGATCCAATGTAATTTTCTGTGTTCTAACCAAAAGGATCAGAAGATGATTTAGTGAAAGCATCAAACTGGAGCACACTGGATGACAGAGATACCCTTAATTTACCACCATATCATTACACTTGCAGATAAAAGGTAGGTATGGCCAAAACATCATTAGGAGGACCTCTGTGAAAAAAATACATGAGTTTGTCTCCTCAACTACTATCAGAAAACATACCACATTCATCTATATCCAATGCTTACCCTCACAATGAAGGATCCGTTCATATAAATGAAAACTTGATCATTCAATAATCATGCCTAGCTTTAAATAGTGAGAATTAACAACTTTGTAACATGCTCTAAAAATAAAGCATATGGAAAACTAATAGCTCCACTAAATAGCTTCTACAAAGAATATAATAATCAATGTCAATGTGCTTCATCCTATCATTAAAAATAGCAGCACTATGTGCCTTTTATTATCGATCTTATGATGTATCCATAAAGAGAATAAATGAAGTGTCTTGAAATCGAACATCAAATAGAGCAAAATGCAACAAAATAACAGAACAAACGCAAGACATAGTTTTGTATTTTATTGTTGAACTAGTCATGGACACAGTATCATTGAAAAGATTTAGGAGAATCCCCAAGAGATATACAAATGCCAAAGGTGAGAAACTTAGCACTGATACGATCCTATCATTTTCAGTCCACATACCACCCACTGAAGCTCTGACAAAGAAGACATAGTTAGGCCACAGGCTAAAGTGTGATTATATCTGTTTGGAAATGGTACTTAATAAGTCCAGGGGACTGTACAAACTACAAAATGGCCACATGTAAAACAAGAGATGTTGAAAAAGGCTCAACAGAATGGATATAAGAAAAACACATTTGCACACATATATAGAGAAAGAGAAACTCAGAATTTCCTCTATATCTGCTGTTGCACCTAATTTTTGCATGCGCACATAGGGGTTCACCTGTCTGCTAAGCAGAGAAAATATAAAGCAAGCAAGGAGTATAGTGGATCCATATTAGAAGTATTTGTTTGAGTGCACACTGCTTTGGACTTGTCACTGGAATACAGCTGTTAATTACATGTTCTCATAGAAAGAAAACCTATATTCCAAGGATGCTATACAAGCAGAACGCAAATTGCAAGCAGTGATAATGTTGGGATCAGAGCAGTGTAGTAAAGCAAAGTGGGTGGCCTGAAGAAGGTCTGTCAAACTTAGTAATAAGAGCTGCAAAAAAAACGTGTGGATGCAAAGCATGATCTTGGCCCAAAGATTTATCCTAAACTTGAAACCTGGGGAATAAGAGTTATGCATTAAACTTCATGAATTCGTTAGGCTTAATAGTGGAGCTGAGTGAGAGACCCAAATCACAAAGCCCAACATCAAGACAAGGGATAACTACAAACTTAATACCTTGGGGGAATGAGGGCATCAAACTTAGGATACAAGACCACACCACAAGCAATGGTTTACGTTTTATTTGGTGTATTAAGGGAACATAATGTTAAGCTTAAAAATAAGATTTGATCTCAGGCCAAGGACTTACCGATGTTTAGTGACCTCGTGGAATCAAAGGATTAAGTCAGTACTTAACAGAGGGCATAGGGAACCTAAGAATGCAGATAAAAAAACCAGTGGGCAGCGAGTTTAGCATGCAACTAATTAAGGTTATGGTGTTGGAATGTAGGTATTTAGATACAGAGTTGACCCAGCCTAGCTCATTTGAATCCATAAGTTTTCCAATACCTCAAGAATAACATGAGTTCAAGTTTTGTTTAAAACTTATAGAGAAAATGGTGAACAATTATTAAAATAACAAGTCCGTCCTTTTGGACAAAAAAAACACATATGGCCCAAAAAGCAAATGCATGGCAAAATGCAATTTGGCCCATAGTTCTAGGGATTGAGATCATATGAGATCCAAGATCAGGATTGCAGGATCATCATAAGCAGGAAGTTCCCCATAAAAGAAAGCGTGGTAAGTACACCCTAAAGTCTAGGCATCTCAATCCCACTATGTGGGTGAGCTCAATCCAAACTTAATTATGATTGAATGATAAATTATACAGACCGAGCTCCATCAAGTTAAAAATCAATGTCGTTGACAGCACTTAACTAGAATAGAAATATATACTATTACACAATATGACAATATGCTGCTACACTATACTATAATACTATGCGGTGTTTAAAAATGCGGACCGCCCAACACTTAGGCGACCGCCTCGCCCAGGCCCAGGCAGCCTACCCTAGGTGGCCGCCTAGTTGCCTGAGAACCTGCCTAAGAAGGTGCCCAACACCCACCCCTGAGTTACCACCCAGGGCCAGCACCCGCCTAGGGGCAGAAATGCCCCTCGTTGAGCGACAGTTTTAGATCGTTTTTTAATAAAAAAAAGGGGGAAAATTGTGGGTTTTAGGTTCTTTTAAAACCTATACCGCATTAGAGCCTATTTTAGATAGAGAAAAACTCCAAAAAACTAATTTTTGTGATTGCCATAGGATCGAAGGATTACAAAAAATCGATCCAAGTATCACCTATTGATATTAGATTTAGTTTTGGAAGTTTTAGACGTCTATTAGAGGGGTTTTTAGAAGATTTGATCTTAGAAAACACCTTAGAAGTGGAAGTTTGGAGATCAAGCAATCAAAGTTAATGAAAATTTTTATTTTTTAAATTGTTTATATTATTTTGAGATGTCTTCTTCGGGATCTAATCAAAGCGGTGATCCGGGTAGGAAATATGGCTACAACCCGAATCCTTTGGATAAAAATTGTATAAGATGCAATTTTTGTGAAAATGATACAAAAGGGGGCATAAACCGGTTCAAGAAACATCTTGCCGGTATCAAGGGGGATGTTGCCCCATGTAAAAAAGTTCCTGATGCCGTTAAGAGGAGATAAAAAACTTATGCGTCTTGTAAAAATGAAAAAAGAGGAGAGACAAGCATCCATAGCAAAGATGAGGTTTGGGGTTCGGATCAATTATGATGATGATGATAGTGATCAGAATGGGGAGAGGTGTCAAGAGGTAAAACAACAATCCCAAATTAGGGGCAAAGGAAAAGGAGTTGTAATTGCTTTTGGGAGTGCGCGCCTAAGAGGCCTCAAGTTAGAGGGTATATGGATTGTTTTTTACCCTGGCTTAACCCTGAGATTGCAGGAGAGAAAACAAATAAGCAAACCACCATTGAAAATAGACTCAAGAAAGTAGAGAGAGATAGAGTTGCACAATATGTTGCTACATGGTTTTATGAGGCGAGCACTCCTATCAATACCACTCGCCTAAGCAGCTTCTATACCTTGGTAGAGGCAATTGGCCAATTTGGCCCTGAGATGAAACCCCCAACCCCATATGAGCTTTCAGAACCTTTTTTAAAAAAAGAGGTGAGTATCATCACGAGGGATATTGTTGATGTTAAGAAGCAAGCATGGGCTCAATATGGAGTTTCTGTTATGACCGATACTTGGAGTGATAGGAAGAGAAGAAGCCAGATGAATTTGTTGGTGAATTGTCCTTTAGGGACTGTTTTTTTTAGGTCTATTGATGCATTTGATTATAACCGTGATGCCCATTACATATTCCAAATTATGGAGAAGGGAATCAAGGAGGTTAGGGAGCAGCATGTTATACAGATTCTCACAGATAATGCTGCTCCTAACGTTGCTACTGCTAATTTGTTGCGAATAACTTACCCTAGAATACACTGTGTGCAACACATTGTATAGACCTCATGCTTGAGGCTCTTGGAGGTTTGAGTGAATTTTCAGGTGCAGTGAAGAAGGCAAAGTAAGTTATGAATTTCATTTATATCCACACTCTCACTCTCAGCATGATGCGCAGATTTAAAAAGACGAAAGAGATTGTGAGGCCTGGGGTCACGAGATTTGCGACCTGGTACTTATGCCTAGATATCATTCATTCGAAGAGTGTCCAGTTGAAGCAAGATGTTTACCTCGAATGACTGGAGAGCAAGCAAGTGGTCCAAGGATCAGGTTAGGAAGAAGATGAGAGACATTACCCTTTCTAAGGCTTTTTGGAGAGGGGTGAAGGGCACCCTTAAGGTATTTTTTCTACTTGTCACAGTCATTCTCTTGGTTGATAGTTACAAGCCTTCTAAGGGCTACATATATGCGACAATGGAGAGATGCAGGAGAGAGATAACCCAAAACTTAAATGATGATGTGAGCCGATAAGCTTATTTAGGATATTATTGATGAGAAGTGGGATACGCGGCTACATCAACCATTGGATGCAGTTGGTTATATTTTGAACCCAGCTTTTTTTTATGTTGATAGGGATATACGCACAAATGACACAATTAAGACTAGATTTAATAATTGTGTAGATGTGCTAGTCCCTATTCTGGATATCCAAGATATTATATGCGTTGATGAGCTAATAAGTTACCAGTGTGGATTAAAGTTTTTTGGGCGTCCAATGGCGATGAGGCAAAGGACCAAAACTGATCCAAGTAATAATATTCTTAAG